GATAAGATGGCATTCTGGAGCCCTTTTATAGGTAAATGCAATCCAATGGCTGCATGAAAAAGGCCTGGCAATTTTGAGGGAACACCAAAAGTGACTGTTTAAAGATTTAATAAAAATTCACAATGGATCAGATAATCCTAGGTCATCTTAGTATTATAAATTACTGCTGGGTGCGGTGGCTCATACCTGCAATCCCAGCATGCTGGGAGGCCAAGGCAGGTAGATCACGAGGTCAGGAGATCAAGACCAGCCTGGCTAACAGGGTGAAACCCCGTCTCTAACAAAAATACAAAAAATTAGCTGGCATGGTGGCGGGCGCCTGTAGTCCCAGCTACTCGGGAGGCTGAGGCAGGAGAATTGCTTGAACCCAGGAGGCAGAGGTTGCAATGAGTCGAGATTGCACCACTGCATTCCAGCCTGGGTGACAGAACAAGATTCCGTCTAAAAAAATAACTAAAATAAATAAATAAACAAATAAATAAATAAATTACCGAGACACAGTGGCTTACGCCTGTAATCCTAGCACTTTGGGAGGCAAAAGAAGGCAAACCCCGCCTTGTTTGAGACCAGCCTGGTCAACATGGTGAAACTCTGTCTCTACCAAAAATACAAAATTTAGCCAGGTGTGGTGGTGCGTGCCTGTAGTCCCAGCTACTCGGGAGGGTGAGGCAGGAGAATCACTCGAACCTGGGAGGCAGAGGTTGCCATGAGCCAAGATCATGCCACTGTGCCCCAGCTTGGAAGACAGAGTCTCACTCTGAGACTTTGTCTCAAAAAAAAAAAAAAAAAAAATTACCCAGTAAGATCAACATGCCTCAAAAGTGCTCTGAAATTTCACAACTTACTATAATCTGAAAGTTCTTCTTTTGAGAATTGTACTGACCATTTTCGAAACTGCATCCGGAAATCATGAGCCAGTAAATGTCCAGAAACCGAAGTCATTACCATGGTAACATTCTGAATGATGACAAAATTCAAAATTCAGTTAGTCTTTTTACAGTTATTATTTTGCCAAGTCATTCAAATGAGAGGGAGGAGCTTCTATTAAAGACATTTTAAAAAACCTGATTGGGAAAAAATAAACATAAATACAAGGTCTTCAAAGTCAAAAGCCATAGGAATACAATCACCATTCCAATTCTAGTACCACGACGCCTCTTGCATTAGTTCAATTTTCCTCAAACTATTGTATATTAGCTTTTTTTTTCTTTTTTGTAATGAAGAGCTGAGATGGGACCATATTTTATTAAAGAGACTTCCTCATAAATTATAAAGTGATCACCTGTAACCAGGAACGTTTAGGTTGTTAACAGCTGTTATTCTTAAGACAGTGACATATTCTACATATGACTAGGCTGACTACTTTCTCTTGCTTATGATGAAAATATTTTAGCACCTACCTGGCCATACAGGTGATAATCAAATTCATAGATCTTGTTGAATTTTGAAAGTCCTTCTCTCTATAAAACAAAAATACGTAAAAAATATAAATTATGTTCAAAATAACAGATTCCTCTGTATAATTCTTCCTGATTCTGAATTTGGCAATGATTCCTTGGTTATGACACCAAAAATACAACAAACATTGCTCCAAAGAAGATAAGAAATGGCCAACAAGCATATGAAAAGATGCTCAATATTATTAATCATTAGGAAAACACAAATCAAAACCATGATGAGATACCACTCCACACCCATTAGGATGATAACGAAATAGAATTTAAAAACAAACAAGTAAAACAACAAGTGTTGTTGAGGATGGGGAGAAATTGGACATTGCCAGTGGAAATGTAAAATGCTTTGGCCACTCTGGAAAATTTTGGTGTTTCCTCAAAAAGTTAAACATAGAGTTATCACATGTCACAGCAATTCCACTCTTAGAAATTTACCCAAAAGAATTAAAAACACATTCAAATACACTTTGGGAGGCTGAGGCAGGTGGATCACTTGAGGTCAGGAGTTCGAGACCAGCCTGGCCAACATCGTGAAACCCCGTTTCTACTAAAAATACGACGATTGGCCGGGTGTGGTAGTGTGCGCCTGTAATCCCAGTTTCTTGGGAGGCTGAGGCAGAACAATCACTTAAGCCCAGGAGGTGGACGTTGCAGTGAGTGGAGATGGGGCCACTGCACTCTAGCCTGGGTGACAGAGCGAAACTCTGTCTCAAAAACAAAACAAAACACAAACAAAAAAACACATTAAAAAAAAACCCTGTACATGAATGTCTATAGAAGTTCTATTCACAATAGTCAAAAGATGAAAACAACCCAAATGTCCATCAACTGATGAATGGTAAAATGAAATGTGATCTATCCATATGATAGAATACTATTCAGCCATAAAAAGGAATGAAGAGGCCAGGCGCAATGGCTCACGCCTGTAATTCCAGCACTTTGGGAGGCCAAGGTGGGTGGATTACAAGATCAGGAGTTCGAGACCAGCCTGGCCAACATAGTGAAACCCTGTCTCTACTAAAAATACAAAAAATTAGCCGGGCGTGGTGGCAGGTGCCTGTAATCCCAGCTACCGGGGAGGCTGAGGCAGGAGAATCACTTGAACCTGGGAGGTGGAGGTTACAATGAGCTGAGATCGCACCACTGCACTCCAGCCTGGGCAACAGTGAGAGAAACTCCACCTCAAAAACCAAAAAAAAAAGGGAATGAAGAACTAATATTAATACATGGTACAACATGGATGGACTTCAAGAAGATTATGTTAAGTGAAAGAAACCTGACACAAAAGAGCATGTAAGATATGGGTCCACTTATAGGAAATGCCCAGAACAGGCAAATCCATGGGGAGAGAAAGCAGATTTGTGGTTGTGAAGGGCTGAGGAGAGGGTAAGGGGAGTGACAGCTTAATGGATATGAGGTTTCCTCTTGGGGTGATAAAAAACCTTCTGAAACTAGACAATGATGATGGTGGCACATTTAGTGTACAAAACTCCACTGAACTGTATACTTCAAAATGATTAAAATGGTCAATTTTCTGTGTATTTTGCCACTCAACCTACATGGTTCTCTAAGACCCTTATCATATGCACTCAACTGCTGCTCTTGCTTAACTCACTGGTGTCTCCTTGCACCATACAACATCCCTAACTTCTCACTGTTTCTGAATATGCCAAGCTATTTCAAGCCACTAGGATGTTCTTCAGTTTCTACTGCCTGGTAAAACTTTCACACTCAGCTCAAACATGCTTTCAACAAGTATTAACTTTTCTTCTTCTTTTTTTTTTTTTTAGAAGGAGTCTCACTCTGTCACCCAGGCTGGAGTGCAGTGGCGCGATCT